CCCCTGGGGTATGATAGAAGAGGGGAGAGGAGAGAAAGGACCAAAGGGCACTGGGGAGAAATGGCCTTGGGAGCCTGCCCAGCTTCCCTTCTGCCACTGCCAGGGCCTGGGGACGGCGGGGGGCGGGGGGGGGCCTTTCTTTGAGAAAGGAGCAAAGTCTGTCCCTCGCTGCCTTGGCTCCAGTTCCTGCTGGACTTTGCTGCCACCTAGTGGCCCAGTGGCATCTGACCTCCCCCCCACCCCCCCACCCCCTCCAGAGTGAGATCTGCCTAGGGATCTGGCCTGTCCCAGCCTGAGGCTGACAGGAGAGCCTTCTCTGAAAAGCTTCTCTGCCCTAGGATGCCCTGATTCTGCAGTGCAGCTGCTAGGAGAGAGGAGCAGCACAGGGTCACCACCTCACCTAACTCGATAGGTGTCCTAATGGCATGGCCACCAGGTGAGAGGGCCAGGGCTGGCTGGGTGGGCGCCTGGGAGTGGGGGCAGTTTCTTACTCCCAGGATGTTTCTGGTGGGATGCAGTTCTCCCAGAGCCCCCCTCACTCCTGAATGCCTTTTTCACGAGAACTGCCCACTCTCACGACTCTTCCTCATCTGGCTAAAGCCCATGTTGCAAACTGAGGCTCCCGCATAAAATATATATACCTCCGTTTCTCCAAGTTTAGGGCTGTTGTTTCTCCCTTATAAAGTTAGCTCAACTTAAAAAATATGATATGCCCTCACTGTGATGCTGCTGCTATGAACCACTCCCTGGGAACAGTGAAAAGGAGGTGTGTGATAGTATGTAGAAATTCAGCCATATTTTTCTGCATATGACATCCACGTGTTTATTTCCTCTAGCAAAAGAAAGCACTTGGTTTCAGTAACCACTGATTCTGCCAGCTCCAAACTTTCAGACCTGAGCTGCAGCACCCAGGGAATGTATAAAATCCAAATTCCCTTCTCCTGCCTACCTCTCCAACCTCTTATTTTTTTTTATTGTGGCAAAATACATATAAAATTTATCACCTTAATCTTTTTTTAATTAATTTATTTTTGGCTGTGTTGGGTCTTCATTGCTGTGCACGGGCTTTCTCTAGTTGCGGCGAGCGGGGGCTACTCTTCGTTGCGGTGTGCGGACTTCTCACTGCGGTGGCTTCTCTTGTGGAGCATGAGCTCTAGGTGTGTGGGCTCAGTAGTTGTGGCTCAGGGGCTCTAGAGCTCAGGCTCAGTAGTTGTGGCACGCAGGCTCAGTAGTTGTGGCGCACGGGCTCTAGAGTGCAGGCTCAGTAGTTGTGATGCATGGGCTTAGTTGCTCCACGGCATGCGGGATCTTCCTGGACCAGGGCTCGAACCCATGTCCCCTTCATCGGCAGGCGGATTCTTAACCACTGCGCCACCAGGGAAGCTTTATCATCTTAATCATTTTTAAGTGTATAGTTCCACAGTGTGAGGTACATTCACATTATTGTCCAACAATCATCACCATCTCCAGAACTCTGTTTATCTTGCAAAACTGAAACTCTGTACACATTAAACAATAACTCCCATTTCCCTCCCCCATAGCTCCTGGTAACCACCATTCTGCTTTCTGTTTCTATGAATCTGACTACCATAGGTACCTCATATATGTAGAGTCATACAGCATTTGTCTTTTAGTGACTGGCTTACTTCACTTAGCATAATGCCTTCAAGGTTTATCCATGTTGTAGCATATGTCAAGACTTCCTTCCTTTTGAAGGTTGAATAATATTCCATTGCATGTATACACCAAATTTTGTTTATCCATTCACCTCTCGATAGATACTTGGGTTGCTTCCACCTTTTGGCTGATTGTGACTGACACTGCTATGAACATGGGTGTACAGATAGCTCTTCAAGCCCTTATTTTCAATTCTTGTGCGTATATATGCAGAATTGGAATTACTGGATCATATGGTAATCGTTTTTAATTTTTTGAAGAACTGCCATACTGTTTTCCACAGGGGCTGCACCATTTTACATTCCTACCAATAGTGCATAAGGGTTCCAATTTCTCCACATCCTCAGTAACACTTTTGTTTTCCATTTCTTTGATAGTAGCCATCCTAATGGATATGAAGTGGTATCTAATTGTGGTTTTGATTTGCATTTCCCTAATGACTAGTGATGTTGAAATGTCTATTCAAGTCCTTTACCGACTTTTAAACAGGTTGTTTTGTTGTTGCTGAGTTGCCCTTTCCAACCTCTTTTCATGTCACTCTCCCACTGACTAGTATCCTAGACTAATGCAGATGGTCTCTCTGTTCCTCAGAGACATATGTGTTCTTTCCTACCTTTCACAGTTGCCGACCCTTTTCCCAGCTCCTTCCATGACTGGCTCCTCATCCTTTAAGCACCAGCTTAAATCTCACTTCAGAGAACATTTCTTGACCACCCATCCAAAGCCACCTCCCTGTTTACTGTATCTTGTATCACTGTTTCTTTCCTTCATGGAACTTAACCACAATCTGGAATTACCTTGTTTGTTCACGATTTACTTGGAACTTATGTTTACGTGGAATGCAAGTGTCATGGGGGATGCAGAGATATTGCCTGACATGTTCACTGCTCTATCCTCAGTGCCTAGCTTAGTACCAGCTCATAGTCTGGGCTCAGCATTTACTGAACGAACGAATCACTACTAGAGGGGGCCTCCCAGAGAGAAGGTAAGGTGACGTGGCCCAAATTGGAATTTAACCTCCATAATCTAGGCTTGATGTCATAGAAAAGGACACAGGGGTTTTCTAGCTCTGAGTTCCAGACTTTAATTCCTGAGTCAGGAGCACAGTACTAGTTGAACCAGGGACTTTGCTTTGGAGTTGCCCAGGAGAAACAGGGAAGCATTCTCAGTGTCCATCCAACAGAGGGAGGAGGCTATGGTGGTGTGCTGTGGCCATCCTTACCATTCCCCCATATGCCTGAAGTACGAGTCAGCTCAGCTAAAGTCCTGTGAGATGTACAAAGTACTTGGGATTCTGGGAATGACTCTGGCTCCATTAGTCTCCTTCGTGCCAAATATGTCAGGAAAGAGCACTTTTAATGAGTAGTCAAAAGATAAAAGTGAACTTCCCATACCACGGGACACTAGAAAAATCGGATTTTTTATTTAAAAATATTTTCAACGCCATAGTGGAACAACTGAAGGGTAGTTGAACCAAATTCTCAGGGAATTAGAGGAGCATCCTCCAATGCAAGCAGGTCTGTATAAATACACATGGTTTATAAATGAGCACAACAGAAGGTACGCTGGCCAGAGGACCAGGCTGGGGGACAGAAGGGAGAAACAGAGGGCCCTCCAAGAGGGACAGGCACACACTCCTATCACTCAAAGCCCTGGACCCCAAGAGGGCCTCCAAAGCCACCTACTCTACTGCATGCCTCTTGCCGTCTATGAGCCTGGGGCATGGAGACTGGAGACTTGGCACCTCTCATGGCCTCTGGCTCAACCCAGCAAGTCTCAGAGAATGGACCTGTTCTCCCTGCCCTTCAGCAAGGACCAGGTAGGGGAGGCGCTGGGGCAAGTAGGATTATTTCCCTGAAAATCTGATGGAAAGGAGTGATTAAGGGGGCTGGTTCCCAAAAAAAGGACGGGCATTCATCTGGTGTGGCAATGTGGGGAGAATGGAGCAGTGAGTTTCACCTGAGACATACAGATTTAGTGCAGGTATCCCACAAGGCCAGGCTCTAAGCCAAATCCTAGAACCTGGGATGGGGAGAGAATGAAGAGACCTCCAGTCTGAGCTTAGGAAGTTGTCACCTCCTGTCCGTCCCTCCAGTCTTCATTTGGGTTTGTCATAAATAGGACAGACAGTCACAGCTCCACAGTAAATAACTGCCACCTGGATTTCTCCCTAGTTAACCTCTCAGGTGTCTGAAGAGGGGAAAAAGTGGCTCTTTCTGACACCACCCACCCCATCGCCAGTGACTTTCTCTGATACATCTGGCCTCCTCACTAAGCCCTTCCCAGAACCTACAAAGGCACTCTCTTAGCATTTCGGAGTCCCAGAGAGAACAGGCCAGAGTTTTAAGGCACAGAGAAGCTTTTAGAATTGAGGAGACCTTGACAGAGAAGGAAGAATCTCTAAGGCAAAGCCACTACCATGTCCACTCTTACTATCCTGTATCTCTCTTGTCCCCAAAGGTATCAGACAGACCCCCTGGGCCTGGTCCCTGCACTGTCCCAGCCCCACCTTGGACACCTCCATTATACTCATGGAGAACAGAGCCCGTGGAGTGGAGGACCCTCCTGCATGGCCTGCAGGTGACGTGGTGAGCTCTGCCCTGTGGTGGCCCAGCACCATCGTGCCCAGTGCCCAGCCAAGCCCGACAGGCTGCCATTGGCCACACCCAAAATCTAGGCAGTCAGGCAGAGAGTACAAAGCAAAACCTCAGATCAAAGCCACTGCCCCTCCCATCCCCCACTTCCCACCTGGGGCACCTTGGAAATGTTTGAGCACACCAGGGAAAGATCCAGTACCTGGTCTGCGACCCCAGTGGCCAAAAGGCCCTGCTCCACCTGTCTTCCCAGGAAATAGCAGCTGAGGACACAGAATGCTGGACCTCTATTCTCCTTCACAGCCACTGCCACAGTCCCCTGCTGCAGGTAGTGTCCTCTCAGATTCAGCCAGCCTCCTCATGAGGGGCCGGAACAGAGCCTCTGCACAGAGTGTGGACACTCCTCTTGCTGGAATCCTGGCCACAGGCCCTGCTCTCCTCATTCATAGCTTACCTCACTCCCTCCAGTCTGCCCTGCATGGGTCCCTGGCTGACTGCAGAGAAGTCCTTTGGGCCCCAAACCAGGGACTCTCAGGCGTCCAAGTGAGAGCACAGTATGCTGGGAGAGAACGGAGCCCACACTGGTGGTTTGGGTTCTGGCCTCTGTCCCACCACTGGAGTGAGCCAAGTGACAGGTATCAAAGCATGGCCTTTGTCCCTTGCAGTGGCCCCAAGTGCTCTTCCTGTGTGTCAGAGCTGTTTCCAAGGAACAAGTTAAAATCTTTTTTTCATTTAAGTGGTTGCTGAGGCTTAGTGTACAGAATTCCTCAGCTAGATCCAAAAATCTGGCTTTTTGTCCGAGTCCCAAAATTGTAGGAGCTTTGTAAACAGGTACTAAAGGTCACTCATTAAAGGAGGGAGACGACTTAGGGGGAGGAGAAGGGATCTGCAATATTTTCTTTCAGACTCAGTCTCAGCACAGCAGCAGCATAAACCAAGTGGATTGTTGGTGGCACCTTAGCACCCAGAGCATTCTTCTTGGAGGAGTGGGGACAAAGGCCAAGTGGCTGTTACCTGCACACAGGAGAGATGACCAGGTCAGACAAAGGGCCTAGAAGGCAGACAGATGAGTCAGTGAAGACTTTGTCCACCCATGAGAGGGGGTCCAGGTGGGATCTGTGTACCCTGCCCAACCTTGCTGAGGGCCATCAAGCCAGCTCAAGGGCAAGACCAAGACCAGCCAGACTAACGAGCAGCCTGGCCATAGGTTTTGGCTGCTGTCCTTAACCCTCAATCCCAGAAGCATGAGAAAGAGAAAGGGCATCACCTGTGCCCAGGGACTGAGCCGCCCCAATTCAGGGAGCATAACTGCTGTTCTAGCCGGGAGATGCGGAACGCCAGGTACGACGAGGACATGACCAAGAAGCAGATCCTGGAGAAAGAGGGGTAAGGAGGAATTGAATCTCTTCTAGAAATGGGGCATTTTTACAGAATCACCAAAAATAGGAGTGGGACTAAGCTAGTTCCTGCAGTTGGAAGAATTAAAGAACCCTTTGCCTGCAGTTACATTCTAGACCTAGGCATCTTTTTTCCCAGAGGCCACATGGGGGTCCTGAGACTCGTCCCCATGGAGGTGTCCTTGAAGCCCAGCAGGAGTTCGGGGTCCTTCAGCTGAGCCCACCTTCCCTCTGACCAGCCACCTTGGTCCTACACCCCCTCTGCGAGGCCACTAAGATTACCCCCTAAGGCGGTAGCCCTTCCCCCAGCAAGTGCTGAGGTTGACAGTCAAAACCCAGCCAGCAGAGCCAGAGGAAGGTGATGAGGTGAGGTGAGGGAATCCAGAGGCTGGCTCTTCATAAAACATCCCACCATGCTCACTGCTCTACTTAGGCAGAATTACAGACAAGCCTGGGCTTCCAGAAAACACCCCAATGGTGGGCAGTGGGAAGGCCATGGCTCTCCCTTAGTCTATCTGATGGGCCTCTCAGATTTTTGCCAACCCTCCTCCTCCCCAATCCTGTACAACTTTTTCTTTCTTCAGCAGTTTCATGTCTTGCCCCTCTCCACAGCCTTAACCCTAAATTACAGGGTTGTAGGGATGAAAACTGGAAATACTTTATCTTGCTCTAGAAGAGCCTGCTGCATGGCTGCCAGACGCCACCCGGGAGCTTGCAGTTGACTCAGAACCTTCCCCTCGCTCTGGACACTGACCTCCCCACACACCAAGGCCCTGGCTCTAAACACTCAGACACCCACCACCCTCCATACAGCCACCTACAGCACGAGGAAGACCTTCAGGAGCCCATGATCCCAGAGCCTCTGCTCCCCGTTGCTCTTGGGCGCGTCCTCCAGCCTCTCCTCCTCACAGTCAGCGTTCTCTGCAACAGGACAGCGTTAGGCATCTTCCTGGGCAGAAGGCAGGACCCCAGCCCACTCCCCCGCCTATGTTCTCTGGAGCCGCTTGGGCTCTTGGCTTTCCCTTATGGATTTGGAGAAAGAAAGAAACAGCTCTCAGAAGCCCTGCTGGCTGTGATGACCTCTTTTTGCAGAAGTGGGAGGCGGGAAAGCCTGGTCTTTGCAAGCAGTTGCCATGGACAAGCACGCTGAACTCACCAGACCCCGGAGGCTTCCTGGAGGGGAAGAAGTCATCTGTGGAGTCCATGGATGCCCGAGGGATACAAGGGATGTTGTCTGGGAGGGACGGGGACCTTGAGGCAGGGCACACTTTTCTCCATTTCATCTCAGGGATGAGGACTTCCTATAGAGAGCAGGAGAAGCTGTCTCACCGTGGCCCTTGGCACCTCACTTGCGCTAAGGGGTTCACGCCAGATTTATCAAAGCCTTTCCAGATATTATCAATATGGTGCCTAGCAAGCATGAAAGCAGGTGCCCAGAAGCGGGGAAACCACTGCCATAGCAATCACATGTCTCATCTGCTCCCTTGCTGTGACCAGCCACTCTTCCAGGGAATGGTGTCTTTGAAGACTGCTAGTGTAGAACCACAGTGGAATCTAAGACATGAGCCATCCCAGGCACGTGTTCAGATCGGCTGAGTCCAAGACAGCTTGGCACTATATATCTTAGATGGAATAAGTTGTGACTCCTGCTAATCTGGGCTTTAACCCTATGTCACTGACCTTGACTTAAGGTCCCCATCAATAAAAAGGGGAACATCACCTTCCATCCCCTGCATGGCATTGTACGTATTGTATGCTTGGCTGAATAAGTTGTGACTCCTGCTAATCTGGGCTTTAACCCTATGTCACTGACCTTGACTTAAGGTCCCCATCAATAAAAAGGGGAACATCACCTTCCATCCCCTGCATGGCATTGTACGTATTGTATGCTTGGCTAAATGCTTAATAGTTACTGAAGCAGACTTCAAACACCCTGGGGTCGTTTCCACCCCCCCCCCCACCCCTGCTCTAGAAACTCTGGCCTGGGCTTCCAGAAAACACCCCAATGGTGGGCAGTGGGAAGGCCATGGCTCTCCCTTAGTCTATCTGATGGGCCTCTCAGATTTTTGCCAACCCTCCTCCTCCCCAATCCTGTACAACTTTTTCTTTCTTCAGCAGTTTCATGTCTTGCCCCTCTCCACAGCCTTAACCCTAAATTACAGGGTTGTAGGGATGAAAACTGGAAATACTTTATCTTGCTCTAGAAGAGCCTGCTGCATGGCTGCCAGACGCCACCCGGGAGCTTGCAGTTGACTCAGAACCTTCCCCTCGCTCTGGACACTGACCTCCCCACACACCAAGGCCCTGGCTCTAAACACTCAGACACCCACCACCCTCCATACAGCCACCTACAGCACGAGGAAGACCTTCAGGAGCCCATGATCCCAGAGCCTCTGCTCCCCGTTGCTCTTGGGCGCGTCCTCCAGCCTCTCCTCCTCACAGTCAGCGTTCTCTGCAACAGGACAGCGTTAGGCATCTTCCTGGGCAGAAGGCAGGACCCCAGCCCACTCCCCCGCCTATGTTCTCTGGAGCCGCTTGGGCTCTTGGCTTTCCCTTATGGATTTGGAGAAAGAAAGAAACAGCTCTCAGAAGCCCTGCTGGCTGTGATGACCTCTTTTTGCAGAAGTGGGAGGCGGGAAAGCCTGGTCTTTGCAAGCAGTTGCCATGGACAAGCACGCTGAACTCACCAGACCCCGGAGGCTTCCTGGAGGGGAAGAAGTCATCTGTGGAGTCCATGGATGCCCGAGGGATACAAGGGATGTTGTCTGGGAGGGACGGGGACCTTGAGGCAGGGCACACTTTTCTCCATTTCATCTCAGGGATGAGGACTTCCTATAGAGAGCAGGAGAAGCTGTCTCACCGTGGCCCTTGGCACCTCACTTGCGCTAAGGGGTTCACGCCAGATTTATCAAAGCCTTTCCAGATATTATCAATATGGTGCCTAGCAAGCATGAAAGCAGGTGCCCAGAAGCGGGGAAACCACTGCCATAGCAATCACATGTCTCATCTGCTCCCTTGCTGTGACCAGCCACTCTTCCAGGGAATGGTGTCTTTGAAGACTGCTAGTGTAGAACCACAGTGGAATCTAAGACATGAGCCATCCCAGGCACGTGTTCAGATCGGCTGAGTCCAAGACAGCTTGGCACTATATATCTTAGATGGAATAAGTTGTGACTCCTGCTAATCTGGGCTTTAACCCTATGTCACTGACCTTGACTTAAGGTCCCCATCAATAAAAAGGGGAACATCACCTTCCATCCCCTGCATGGCATTGTACGTATTGTATGCTTGGCTAAATGCTTAATAGTTACTGAAGCAGACTTCAAACACCCTGGGGTCGTTTCCACCCCCCCCCCCACCCCTGCTCTAGAAACTCTGCTTACCCAGGATCCCAGGAGCAAAAGAAACAGCTGGGACCTTGGCCAATCTAAAAGGATCCTGCCTCGGTTCCGACTGCCTTTAGTGCTCTTCCCCAGGGACATCTTCAGCCCCTTGAAGGCCCTCCTGACTGCTAAAGGAAAGAGGATGGGTTGCTGGCTCTGTACCCGCGAAGGTATAGGGTCCAACGGGGGCTGGGCATCTGTTCTGCTCAGGAAGTTAGCACATCTGCCCAGGACATAGTGGCTCTGCATGGTATGGAGCGTGGTGGGTCTAGGGGACCCCCTGACACAGCATGGCCACTGGCTCTTGAGCCTGCTGCCCCAGTTCTGCACTGTGGGCTTCTGCCCGGGAGGCCCTGAAGCCTTAGAACCACAGGCAGTCTCAAGCCAGCCACTTTTGCTCCCAGCCTCATCTCTCACCAGAGACTTGCACTCAGGTTCCTCTAGAAATTCTCTTGCACTCAGACTCTTCTTGCTGGAAGGCTGAGGAGGGAAGGGAACAGGGATCACTTGTCCATCTGGAACAGCCAAAGTCAGGCATGGGGAGGTATTAACACTCTCCAAGAGAGCTTTACCTCCAAATAAGCCACTTTGGGTCAGATAGAGCCTAAAGCTCCCAGAGTTTTCAGGGGGATCCCTAGTTAATGCTGGAGCAGAGGGCAAATCCAAGGCAACATACTCCCCCAAGCTGCTGCCCTCCCCCTTCCTCACCATAGGCGAGAGAGAGCTGTAGGCATATTGGGAAGCCACATGCTCCTGTCCGTCTGTGCACCGAGGAAGCACACGTGGGGACACACAAGGGCCCAGTGGCCTCAGAGAGGCTCACAAGCATAGACACATGGTCCAAGGACTGCCTCTGATTCACTGAGCCTGAGCCTGTTACTCCCCATTTCGTGTGCCGGGGAGATGGGCCAGCCCCCCCGCAACAGCCCTGGCCCCAAGCTTCATACCTGTAGGTGGGTGCAGACCCTCCTCAGCATGTCATATACACTGTCCCGGGAGAGTAGTGACACAAAGACATACTAGAACATACAAAGAAAACAGAAAGGGGCAAAGGTACGTAAAGGCTTGGGAGAGTGCCAGGGTCAAGCTGTGGACTCCTAGAGCTGGGATGGGGGGAAGGACAGGGAGCGCTGGCCCAGAATCTCACTGACCTTCTGGCTGGTGGTGGTGGTGATGGCCAGGCCATTGGGAAGGAGCCGCGCCATCTTGTGTTTTTTGATCATTTGCACCGACACCACGGGAATGACCACCTGATGGGGAGAGGCATTCTTCTCTCAAGACTCACCCCCAAGGACACAGTCCCTTTGCTTCCTGCTTAGGGCGCCAGCCACAGCTGGCAGTGACCCAAGCACGAGCACCGTGGAGATGTCTGGTCCCACGTGGGAGAGTATCTGAGCCTCCACCGTCTCACGCAGGCTCCCTTCAGTTATCCCCCACCCCTTGGCCGCACGCGCTGCTCCGGCCTCTCACCCCATCATCCAGGAGGCAAGGATGGTTGCCCTGGTGAATCCCATACTCCAGTAACAGAGTTCCCTGAGCCACCATGGCCACTTTTGGGCCCCCCCCTAAGTGTGACATCCCACTCTGATTCTGAAGGCATTTTGGAGGTACCCATAGGCAGAGTAATCTGGCAGTGAACTGTTCAGGCCGCTCAGGCCAGATGTGGAGTCTAGATTGGGTCCCCTGTTTGGAAGGGGTGGGGCTGCTGCCCTGGACACCAGGTGGGATGCCCCACAGTGAGAGGCCTCACCAAGTGTCAGCGTGTGGAGGGACAGGCCTGACTTGAGGTGTGCCCGCAGGGCAGGGGCTTCTCTTCCCTGGGCTATGGCAGCCCTTACCACTTATTACTACCTTGATATCCTTGCCAAAGAGGCTGGCATGGAAGCAGAGCCAGTTGGGGGAGATGAAGAGCCGGCCCTGGAGAAGGAGGTCCCTCTGGAGGGCGCAGGAGCACACTGGGAAGTCACAGGAGACTGCTGTGAGCAAGGCCAGCCCGGGAGCCCCAGGGCCTGGGTCCTCCCACTCAGGAGTCCAGAGTCCAGCCTCAGGGACTGTCCTCCTCAGTACCCTTCCCAATCCCAGGCCCCAGCAACCCATTCCTCCAGCACCCTAGCATCCTTTCCTGTGACTCCTGACCGCTCCCACCCCACCAGACTGCTAGATGATTCCTCTTCCTCCATCCATGCCCCAAAAGGTCCGGCAGGTTTCTGCCCTGGTCCCCTAAGCCTGGATGTTCACCTCCACAGGCAGAACTCCTTGCCCTGCCCTGCCAGGGAGAGAGGGCCTTGATTGTGCAAATGCTCCCACACACTCCCTGGCAGGCCTGAGCAGGAGAGAATAGACACTGATAAGAGCAGAACAGAAATAAGATTTGGAAGCCCCAACCTTTCCTCAAGAAAACTTTTGTAAGTTCAACTTCATATCTCAAATCAGCCCAGTCTTCTCACACTTTTGAAGAAAAAAAGGTCACATTCAAAGGGCAGCCAGTTCCCATATCTGATTTGTGCCTGGAAGCTCTGGGGGAGAGGACCTGGGCCTTGGGCACTGCAGGCGCCTGTCCAGCCACCCGGGGAGACAGCTCACCTTTGAGAACCACCTCCTCCAAGGGGATGTCCTTAAACAGCTTGTGATATTGCTGGTTGTATTTTCTCAGTAGCGTCTGCAAACACACGAGCTGGGTCTGAGAAGTCCCAGGAGATCGGACCACCAGAGGGCCCTGCTCCAGCCACCAGCAAATAAGGCCACAGGGGTGGGGGTCCTGCGGTGACTTGGCATGAAATAGTGGGTAAGCAGCCAGTGGGTGTGGAGGGCTGAGCTCCAAGCACAGCTTGTCTCCTGGTGACGCGAGGTCCTGACAGGCAGCCTGGGACTGGAAGAGGACACAACTCCCACCCAGGAGGGGACACCCACTAGGTTTCCTGGTGACAGGCCTGTGGCCAAGGAGCCAACAGTCACCAAGTTCAGGCAGCCCGGGACCCCTCTCTCAGTGGGCAGTGAGAAGCCGGCCTCGCCACACTTACCCCTTCTCGGCCGCACTTCTTTATGTCTTCACCCTTCAAGCCTTCTGGCCAGTGCAGACTGCAAAGGAGACATGCCATTCCAGGGACAAGGAACCCTCAAAGTCCTACCCACGCATCCTTAGTGCCAATTCTGTCCTGGCCTCAAGCCACAAGCTTGGGGCAGAGATTGGAGCCTGGGGCCCTTCACAGCGAGCGCATAGCTCGCCCTGGGGAGGGGCACTCCTGAGGCAGGGAGGGGTCGCTGAGAGCCCTCTTCCCCTTCCCCGACAGCTGTGAGCAGCCGCCCCCAGGAGGTATGCTCGGCCTGAGCCTCGATGTCCCAGAGCTGCCCACCCCTGAGTGTCAAAAGCCCTCTCCCGTTTTTCTGGCCTAGGCGCAAGCAGAGGAGCGGACCACAGAGTGAATGAGCAGGAGGCACAGGGATGGGGAGCAGGTGGGGTGGGGGTGTCAGCCTCACGGCTCCAGGGCCTGGCCATGGGCCATGATCCCAGCAGGACTGCCCTCCCCCGGGCCTGCAGCTCTGCAGTGAGGGGCTGGGCAGACTCACCTGACCTGACGGAAGCTACCAGGGCTGGCGGAGAGGGGGTGGTGCCGAAATGCAAACTTTTGCCCCGGCCAGGTTGGCCTGAGGACAGGTGGGCAGGGAGGAGGCTGGTAACCCAAGAAGCCTGGACTCTGCTAGGTCCCAGTGCACTGGGACAGGCCTGGGAGTGGGGGAGAAAGAGGCCCCGGGCAGGGCAGCCTATGCCCAACCTAACCCCCTGACGCAGCCTTAAGGCCCCCTTTCGAACAGGTCACCTCCAGAGGGCTTCCCGCCCTCAACCAGTATGTATATCTGATCTGGAGAGGGGCCTCACCTGGAGCCTCGGGGTCTCTGGACCCTGCCTAGTTTCTCCGTGCTCTTCAAAGAAGCCGTCTTTCCGTGCATCTGTTGAATACTGAGGAGAAACAGGCCCTCATCAGGAAGAGGGGTTCTCTGGGGACACCTTTCCCAGCCAGCTCCACCAGGTCCAGGGCAGCTGCCTCTGCCCCATACCCAAGACTGGCCCTGCTATTCAAGGTGCGCTGAAGATGTCACAGTCCAGAGGCAGCAGCCCAGGTAGGGCTTCAGGGCAGCTGACAGAGAGGGGAGACTCACTCACTGTCTTTCCTGGAAGCGTGAAGTCCAGTTTATGTCTGGGTATGAAGGAAAATCAATCTCCCAGGTAGCTCTTAGGCCTCCAGCCCCACCCTTGAGAAGGCAACTGGGAGGGAGGGCCCTGTGACTTGCTCCAGATGGTAAGCAAAAGTTTTGGAGGAGCCCAGGCAGTATTACCATAAACCATCAGCTTCTGGGAAAGGATTCTGAGCACAGGAGGCCTTATCAAGGCTGAGCAGTTGATACTGCGCAGATGTGGTCGTGAACGTCAGCCCACAGCTGAGTGTGGGCTTAGGGGGCGGGGATGCCCCACACCAGGAAGTGGCCTCAATGCCTTCAGACCATCAGGGTAGCTCAGACCTGAGAGCCAAACCATCACAAAAATGTCCCATAGAGAGGGCCCGAGAGGGGGGAGACACCCTCTCCATAGGCAGGTGGGGCTCCCCAAAGGCTTTTGAATTCATGCCTCCACTAAACAGCTCCAAAGCCTAGGGTCCTCCCCTTCCTGCTCCTCCAAAGCAGAAAGACTAAAGCTTGAGCAGGCAAATTAGCCGCAGCTGAGCGGGCCCAGGGGTGATGGGAAGAGAGGGTGGCCAAGAAGCAGGGCCAAGGCAGGGCAGTGTGGTGGTCGTGAATAGGTAACGGGGTCTGTGCACTGGTCTCTCAGCAGGTAAGGAGCTGGAACCTGGAACCTGCAGATCCCAGCACTCCATCCCTCTCCGCAGTGTCACCAGGCAAAGTCAAATTCTCTTCTTCAAGAACAGAGTTACCGGGACTTCCCCGGTGATCCAGTGGGTAAGACTCCGCGCTCCCAATGCAGGGGGCCGGGGTTCGATCCCTGGTCGGGGAACTTGATCCCACATGCGTGCAGCAACTAAAAGTGCACATGCCGCAACTAAAGATCCTGTGTGCCGCAACAAAGATCCCGACGCGGTGCAGCCAAAATAAATAAATATTTTTAAAAATTAAATTAAATTTAAAAATAAATTAAATAAATAAATAAAAGAAGAGTTACTGCCTAGCCAAGATCTGCCAAGCCCCTCCAGGATTATTAATCTGACCCTCCTCCCACCCTACCATTGTACAGATAGGAAACTGAGACCTGCCAGGGACAGGCTGTACCCAGTGTCACAAAGCAAAGAGCCAGGTGATCTCACCCACCAAATGAGCCCAACCACAGCCATGTGGCCTGGTGACCTCTGTCCTCAACCTCACGGCGAGTTTTGGTGCACATATCATGTATGTCCTGAATCTTTCAAAGTGACAGGTTGTGCTAGCGATGTGACCCTTTGACCCCTAAAGTTAATTTCTGAATTTATTTGGGTCCATCATAACACATTTGACAGACTTCTCCCCCTTGACTTTTTTAATGCTTATTATAGAAAATATGAGAAATATAAAATATATAAAGTATGATGATCAAAAATCACCCATAAGAAAAAAATTCCCCCAGCATCACCCAAAGAAAACATTTATGCATAAATATATAATTTACGTAAGTGGGATTATATATCATATAATTTGTATGCCCTGTTTTTGTTGCTTAACATAATTTCATGAGAAATTCCCCATGTCCCTATTGATTCCTTGGATAGATGCTCAGAAGTGAAATTCGTGGATGGAGGATGAGCATTTCTCGGGATCTTTAGACCCACTTCCAAAATGCTTTCCAGGTGCTATACCAACGAACATGGCCATCAGCACTATATGAGGGTGCCCGTTGCCCTACATCCAGGCCGTACACTGGGTATTATCTTTTTCTCACCTTTGCAAATTTGAGAGGTGAAAATACATTGTTTTCATTTCTATTTCTGCTTATTGACAAGTTGAACATTTTTGCCAAATACAGAATAACCACTGGGATTTCATCTGTGAATTGTCTGTAAGGATCTTCATGTCTTATTGATTTGTATACCTTCTTTGTTGAGAAGATTAATCCTTAGTTTATCATTTTTGCAAATACTTGCCCCATTTGCCTTTCAGTTCTGTGGTATTGTTGCTGTACTTGTGTTTAATTTTTGTGCGGCAGATCCCATCCCTCTCTTTCATCTCTCTGTTTCTTTCTTGCTTTGAGGAGAGGAGAGGCCCCTGAGGCAGAGTGTGTACAAGTCAAACCACTGAGCCTTAGAGAGCTTGAACCCTGCAGCCCAGGAGCCCACGGGGCCACCAGGGAGGAGATGGGTGTGGGCTCCGCTCTAAGGCACACACTCCAGCCCTGGGGACCAAGGATAAAACAAGAGCCCACGAGGAAGAAGGAGGAACTTGATCATGGTTTCAGAGGCAGGGAGCCTGTCACTCAGGCGCACTGGAAAGTGTGAAAACAGTTGTCAGGCTGCAGAAGCTCAGAGGACACACGGAGTGAAAGAGTCACAGCAGGACTCCCAGAGAAAAGGAAGCTGAGCCTTACCAGCTGGGTGGGACTATAATCCTGCTTGGCTTCCATCATCTAACCCTGCGTGATTATCACGCCTTTGCATGGATTCTAAACCCAACCCATCCTTAGGTTCAAATTCTCAGGCACCTGTGTGTGAGCTCTAACTGCCCACCTCCAGGGGCTCCAGGACGCCTCCTGCAACATCGCAGGCCCTAAGCCTGGGGCACCGCCAGCGTGCAGCAGGCACTCGTGACATGACATGTCTGAGGAAGGACTGTGTGGACAGTGTAAGTGAGATCAAGAGCAGAGGTTGGAGGAGAGATGGGCCATGAGAATAACAAAAAAAGACTGCCATGATTCCCATAGCAACTCCATGAAGAAAATAACAGTAAGAAAACAGGAGTCCCTTGGGGTAAATGACTCAAATATGTTCAAACTCAAAGCAACCCCTTTTCATGTGATGAACATGATGGTCACAAGCCAATCCTTCATGTCCATCGATTAAAATCAGCCCCTCCGGGCCGTCCTGATAATGCTGTTGGTACAGAGACCCTGGCTATGGCCGAAATGCACTGCTTTCAAAATCACCTTCAAGTCAGCCTTTCTACTGACTCGTCTTCTTTCCCATAGTATTTGTTTAGATGAGTAAAAATAAAGAGATGGGAGCAAAGTCAGAGGAAAAGCTAGGTCTGGGGTGATAGTCATCGAGAATTCACCAACAGAACCAGGCAGGTGGGGTCCACCCAAGGACCAACAGGGCCGTGACCCAGACAAAGGAGGTGGCAAGAGCAGGGCGCTGGAGAGTGAGGGGCCAGGCTGGGCCCCCGCCCCCTGCTGGCAGTCTCTGTCCACTCCCGCAGAGCCTTCCTCGACCTAGTTGCTGTTGCTCTGTGGGTTGTGAACTATACCCGCTGCCCATCCAGCCCCATCACACCTCCATGTGCAGACTATGGAGTTAATATCAAGGGTCTTCAAAACCGTATCTATTTTTTCAATCAAAGCCACAAAAAAAGTCATTATTGTCATGAGGGTGATGGAGCACGGGAGGCTTTCTACCCCTGGACATTAAAGGGGGTAGAAAAGGTTTGAAAATTCCTCAGATGAGGCCCTTTCATTCTGCTGAGCCTGGCCCAAAGGCAAGATGCTGATCCAGAGGACACAACTTGTGCTTGCCCTGCCCTCAGGCCTTGCTGGCCCAAGTGGGAACTCAGGCTAACTGCCCATTCCTTCATTCCTTCCACAAATACTTACTGAGCTTATCACCCCATGAGCCCAGTATGAGCCTGCCCAGCCCAGGGGGCTGCTGAGAGGGAGGGGATGGGCAGCTAGCACTGAGAGACGTCGGGAGAGAAGCCAGGCCCATCAGGAACGGGGAGACACAGGGAATTCCCTGGCGGTCCAGTGGTAGGACTCCGCACTTTCCCAGCCAAGGGCCCGGGTTCAATCCCTGGTCGGAGAACTAAGATCCTGTAAGCCAAGCAGCACAGCCGGAAAAAAAAAAGAAGGAAAAGGGAGACACAGAGAGATTAGGAGAGGGAGAGAGAGGCAGTGCAGAGAAGACCCAGAGAGGCTGAGTCTAGCTGCTTCCTAGGGACCTCACAGACGAAGCTTCATGGGACACTTGACATATGCACTCCGCTCTGGATGCCTCCCCCAGGCTCAAAATATCCACACCAGGTAGATACTCCCCCACCTAAATCCCTAACCTTGACACCTCGTCCCTCCAGAGCGGCAGAGCCTGCCATCTAGACGAATCCATCAAAGTGAGCTCAGCATCATCCCTCTAAATCTGCTTCCCCTTGAAAGGCCCCATCCTCCACAGTTACCCAAGCCAGAATCCTCAACTCACGCTTCTGCCCCACCGCTGCAACCAGTCAACCGCCAAGGCCCCGAGAGCCTGGCACCACCCGACCCACCGTACCATCTACTGCCTCCACTCCTGCTATACCAGGCAAGCCTAGGCCACCATCATCCTCTTCCTGGATGCTGGCAACAGCTTCCTAACTACACCTGCCCCCAGCCTTGCCCTTCCACACCTGGCACTCTCCCACACCCACACTGCCAACAGAGCCACCTGGGGCCCAGATCTGAGCCTGCCCCCCTCCTGCTGACTTTCCTCCTGTAGTTCCTTCTTGCCTCCTACCTGGCCTTCCTGACCTTCCTGCTTCCTTTCCAGCCTCACCCCTGCAGCTCAGCGGCGGCCCTTCACCCCTGCATGTTTGCTCTTCCTGGAATTCCTTGCCATGCTTATCTACCTGGGGAATTCCCTGGTCGTCTTTCAAAGCCCAGATCAGGCATCACCTTCTCTGTGAAGCCTTCCCAGCTTTCCCCCATGCAGAGCTGGTCATCCCTCCTCTATGGTCCCTGGTCCCTTCTTTCACGCTGCTGCTCCAGCCCTTACCACCCCAGACTGTGCTTGTCTGTTTAGACATCTGAGCTCCACCAGGGGCGTGTCTTCTACATCTCTGTACCAGCAGCACACAGCAGGCGCCCAGTGTTTGCTAAATGAATGAGTGACGGAGAGACAGAGAAAGGGACACGATGACACTTCAAGAGGGAGGAGGGAAGAAAAAAGGCCAGGCAGTAGGGACTTCGCTGGTAGCACAGTGGTTAAGAATCCGCCTGCCAGTGCAGGGGACACGGGTTCGAGCCCTGGTCCGGGAAGATCCCACATGCCGCGGAGGAACTAAGCTCATGCGCCACAACTACCCAGCCTGTGCTCTAGAGCCCTCGAGCCACAACTACGGAGCCCGCGTGCCACAACTACTGAAGCCTGTGCGACTAGAGACCGTGCTCGGCAACAAGAGAAGCCACCGCAATGAGAAGCCCGTGCACCGCAACGAAG